GGGCGCTGCCGCGGCTCACAGCCAGGCCCAAGCCTGGTGGCGGGGCCAGGGCCTCCGAGTCCGCCGAGGGCCCTCTGGCCCCGCCGGAGCCCTGCACCGGCCCGGGTGCTCTGGGGGTTCTGTCCCGGGACTCGCGGCTTGGGGAGCCGGCCAGCCTGTGCAGCCAGGCTCGGGGATGGACAGGCCAGCAGCCAGCACAGTGAGGGAGGCCCAAAGGCCACTTCCGCACAGAGCAGGTGCAGGAGGCCCGGGCCTGGCCAGGGCCCAGCAGCCCCGTGGGCGCGGGCGTCCTGCGGCTCCAGGGGCCTCGCCCGTGCCGCTCTGGCTGTCCCGGCTGCCCCTGTGCCCCCGGCCACTGCGGAGACGGCAGCTCAGTGGCCCCAGCAGCCGGCGACTGAGTGGGGTCTCCAGGAAGTGCAGCCAGCGCTGGGGGCGCCGGCCAGTGCCCCGCCAGGACCTGGCCAGTCTAGCCGGCCCAGCCAATTCTGCAGACTGGCGTCAGGTTCTGCCAACCTGTTGAACAAACAGGGCGGTTGCCATGGTGATGATAATGGCTTTGGGGTGAAGAGAGAGCCTGCAGCCTGTAAACAGGAAGTGTGGGGGGGCTCCTGCTCAGCCCCGGGCCCAGCCTGGAGCTGATGGCAGGTGGGCAGGAGGGCCAGAGCCTCCGCCTGGAGGGGCAGTGAGGCCCAGGCCCGGGCAGCCGGCAGTGTCCCTGCCTCCCCCAGGGCTGCTGCCTGGCAGTGCACGCCCGCTGTCCTGCACCTCCTCCCCGGGGTGGGGGTACGAAGCCGCTCCCTAGGTCCGACATGGCGCCCCTCTGCTGCCTCCGGCCTCCGTTTCCCCAATTTGTGAGGTGCAGATGGCGCGTGGCCACACGGAGTGGCCTGCAGGGCCGGTGACCCCACAGCTGAGGGCCCAGGTAGCGGCCGTGACAGGGCGTCTGGCCATGGGGTTCAGGCCCCCAGGCTGGAAAGAGCCTGTCAGGGGGAGACGGCCCCCTCGGCGCGCTCTGTGCTGGAGCCCAGGGCCGCGGCCTGCCCAAGCAGGCACCACCGCCCTCTGGCGGCGGCCCCGAGAACCGCAGGCCCAGCCTCCGCAGTGGCGAGGGCCAGGCCAGGGGTCCTGCCTGTCCGGGCCACCAGCTGGCCTGAGGGCTGGGGACGGCTGGGCGGGCCACGGGGGCAGGGCCCGAATGCCAGAGCTCTGCTGGTTTCCATGAGGCCAGGCAGCCTGGCTGCCCAGGGCCCTCGTGTCTGTCCACTGGGCCTGTCACCAGCTTCCACCCACGGGGGTGTGTGCAAGGGCCCTCTCAGGAGGTTCCCCTCAGGGCAGCGCCCCAGCAGGGCAGGGCCAGGCCCATCAGCCTAAACCTCAGACTCCAGGAGCCCTCTCGGGTCAGGGCCAGTTCAGACCCCCCTGGCTGGGGCCCAGGGCCAGCCCCGTGAGGCCTGCAGGCCAGCGGACCACCCGCGCCAGACCCGGACAGTGGGCACCGCTGTCCCTCCCTGCTGGCCGGAGCTGGCTCAGGCTGGCTCCAGCCAGCCCATGGTGCTCGGTCCCCAACCGGGGCTGTCGCCATGGCAACCGCAAACTGGAGGCCACCCTGGGTCTGCCGCTGGCCGGGTCAACACTCCAGGCGACCGCACGCGGTGCCAGCGTGGACTGGACAGTGCAGGGAGGCGACCGGGACCTGCAGGGTCAGGACCGGGCCAGGCAGCTGGCCTGCTGCCGAGCCCACTGTGCCGAGCTCCAGGGGACGGGCCTGGGAGCAGCACCCGGGACTCCAGCAGGCCGCCGGGCTGCAGGGACAAGCTGGCCGCAGCCCCGCGCCAGGGCGCGCGCGAAGCACTGGAGGCGACAGGCGTGGAGATGCTTTAATGGAGGCTGCGGGCACAGCGCCTGCGCTCGGCGCGAGGTCCGGGTGGGCGGGG